CCCCGGCCCGGGGGTTGCGGGGGCCCCCGGCCGCCCGGCGGGCAAACTTCCTGCTGGCGGGCGGCGCTTCTAGTCGGGATTTTAGTGGCCGGGTAGGTCGCCCTTCGGCCACTTTTCGGGCGTGCGGCCGCAGCGCGGCGAGAAGGCGGCGCGCTCGGCCCGCTGGCGGAGGTGAAGCCCCCCAGAGCGGGAGCTGGCGGGCCGGGGGCGTCGGGCGGGTGCGCGGCGGCACCCGTGCCACCGGGACGGGCCGTGGTGGCCCGTATGGCGGCCGTGAAGGGCCGTTTGGTGCGCCCCGGCGGCCTCCTGCACGGCGGCCGCCGGGGCCGGTTTGGACTGTGTTTGGGGGGGTGGAGGGGTCCGGTAGCCGGTGTGATGGTCGTTTATCACCCTCCTATCACCCACTTACCGCCCCCGGCCGTGGGGGCCTCTCCAGACGCCGCCATTTATGATTTCAAAGGGTCCTGCCGACGCTCATCACAGTGCGGCGGAGGGGCCGGAGCCGGCGCCGCGGAGGACGAGGATGGCCGTGGCGGACCGGGACGAGCTCTGGGAGGTTCAGTGTCAGTGAGTATATTGTAGAGGCCACCCATGTGCACAATATCTTGACTGAGAGCTAAGCCAGGGGAGGCGATGCCGGGGCCGTACAGCAGCTTGATGGTGTTGCGCCGGCGTGCGTCCCGCCGGCCGCCGGGGCCGGTTTGGACTGTGTTTGGGGGGGGGGAGGGGTCCGGTGGCCGATGTGATGGTCGTTTATGGCCCTCCTATCACCCACTTACCACCCCCGGCCGTGGGGGCCTCACCGGACGCCGCCATTCATGATTTCAAAGGGTCCTGCCGTCGCTCAGTCCGAATCACAGTGGGGAGTGGGGCGGAGCCTACCCTGCGCGCGCGCGCTAGCCGCAATATGCAAAAATGATCATATGATATATGAATTTGCACAAGGAGCTCGTCCTGCCTCGTACCATCACGGAAAGGCGGATGCTCCCCACGGACAGAAGATAGACAGCGGAACGCACATCGTCAGGCGGCGTGTGAGGGGGGGGGGGGGAGAGATCTGTGTGCGTGCGAAACCAACAAAAAGGCGCGTTGCGGGCCGCTCCACGCTCAGAGCCTGTGTCTGGGCCTCGCCGCGCCGGCCGCGCCTCGCCCTCCCCTCCACGAGCGCTGCAAGACATCCTCCCAGCCCCTCTCGGAGAGGTGGCGCGCCAGAGGGCCCGTGCTCACGGCTCTAGACCCTGCGGCCGCGCGCGCCCGATAGCTTGGGCTTGGTCAGCTGGTTGGTGCGGATGCCCAGCTCCGAGGTGAGCCGCTGGAACTCGGACAGGTCCTCGCGGAGCAGGTACTCGAGCAGCTTGCGCCGCCTGACCACCATGGCCGTCAGGCCGCGCAGCGACGCATAGTCCTTCTTGTTCTTCTGCATGTGCGACGTCATGTACTGGATGCGCGC